GATATTGGCCACTGCTCTTGAATGTTCGCCAAGTCAGTCTATGCAGTGCATTTTGAGTCTCCATCTAATTTTGATCTTAGGAAGAAGGACCTCAATCATTCAAATAGGCAGGGGCATAATAGGCCGGAGGAAGAAGAGGTGAACTATGGAAATGGAGTGGTAGTTGTCACTTTCTTGCTTCTTTCTTTCATACTTCTATTTTTTGTTCCTACTGGATGTTGGGGTCTTAGTTATTTAATCTGTTTTTTTTATCAAAGTAAATAAATTTTCATTAATGAATAGGCCAAAACAAAAGCAAACGTATACAAGAAGTATAACAAAAAAGATAGAAAACCGAAAAAAATACGGTTCTTTAAGAAATATACCCAATCTTCTATACAACAAGGAACTTTATGGGTGCACCAAAAGAAAATAAGGGATACGAGGCTACTCCTCAACTGAACAGAACTGATCTCTACCCATTTTAATGCTCTTCTATTTCTTTCTTTCCAAATAACCCACATGATTACTAGTGGAGCAACAGTGCATGGACTATGCCTTCTCCTCCTCCTCCCACAAGGCCACAACAGCTAAACATTAACTTTTTTACAATTCTTGGCAATGCCCATGAGATGCCAAACCACGTAAGTATTTCCCACCGTAACCTCGATGGTAGGCTACAAAGTAGAAGGAGATGATCCACATCTTCACCCGCCTCTTTACACATGAAACACCAACTTATAGAAACGACCTTCCGCCAGTGTTATCAAAGGCGAAAAGCGCAAAAAAGCTCTAAGGTCCGTTGGGGCTTTAAGCGCAAAGCGCAACTAAAGCGTGTGCTTTAATGAAAAAAGGCACAACTGAAGAAAAAATAAAAATGTGTATATGTAGTCCAAGACTAATAATTATAAACATGAATAACAAATATAAGGACAAAGAAATTGAAAAACATTTACGATAAAACGAAATATTAATTGTTTAATGTCGTCCTTTCAGGATTACACTCATTGGTAAGGAAAAGTATGCCTTAGAGCCTTGATGCGACACTAAAGCGCCCACAAAGCGAGGCAAAGCGCTCAACATGTTTTGAGCCTCGCTTCAGGGCTTAAGCGCGCCTTTGACAACACTGCCTTCTGTTTCCAAAGGTTCTCGATCGTCAAGATCACCCCTCTAGCTACTACCAAGTGAACTAGTGAAGAAGCACACCTTCTTCGGCACCTTCGATATCCAAATTTAGCTATATGGCAAGACATCCTCCTCCTTACCAAAAGCTTTTCATAAAAAGACTTTATCGAAAATATGCATTAGTATTGGCCCAATATTTTTCAAGTCCAATGAGCCAAACCGAAAATCTCAGGCCTATTACAGCTTGGTGTTCGGTTTGCCTGTTTCTTTTTACATGTACAGAGAAACTTATGGCTTCTCTTATCTACTATCCACATTCTTGGGTACATGTGAGCTATAAAGAGGTATGCTCAAGTAGTGCCATGTTAAATTTGTATATGGACCATGCTTCATATTGAATTTAGATATGTACTCCAAGTCCGATTTGAGCTTGAGGATAAGATTATCGGACATAGATTTGTGTTTACATTCCCAAGTCCGTAAAAGTTCTTTACTTAGAAGTTGGAGAATTTAAAGGTGAAATGAATAAGTTAAAAGTCAAGCAACTTGATCTTTCTCTAAAATATACATCTTAAATTTTGTCTGGATGTCCACTCAATTAAAGGTGTCTTTTACAATGGTCTTGTGCCATTGTCAAGTGTGCTTTTGTCGGAACTATAATAATTGGCTGGCGCTTGGCCATGTGTCATTGTTTTTAACATCACTAGTGTCGGGATCAGCGTGCACATGCCTCTACCAAATAGCATGCAGCCCACATAGTTTATTCGGGTATTCTTCCCTCCAAGGATGCTCAATATACCAGTGTTGTAGACGTGATTCGAACTTTTTCCAGGATCTTGCTTTCATGCCTTGACCATCAGATCCCTTTGGGACCTCACGTCCACCGGAGAGTGGAGTCATTTCTAGCTTTCTTTCATTAATAGTATTTTCTCTGTGGAAGAATTTCGAGAATAACTTATGAAGTTTATAATGCAACAAGCATAGACCTCTTTTTGGGTGTACACCGATTTTGCAGGCTTTTACATGCTATCTTATGTCAATCAATAGTCGTGTTGCTTGTAGTTGTTTCTCAATACAAATTATATAGACATTGCACATAGTATTGGGGGATGATTAGTTAAAGTGCAAGCAAAAAAAAGAAAGTTGGCCAATCTTTGTACCATGAAGAAACTAACCTTTACAAAAGCATAAATATGAGAGGTAGTGCTTTATTGTCATGGGTTATATGGGTGTTTGCATTTTAAATAAAAGGGGAAAAGAGGACATGGTTGGGTTGGTGTTGGATACATGTTGAATGATGTTGACGTTGGATTGAGGACAACCTAAATTTGGTTCAATGCTTCCTGTGTCTCTACTCGGCTTAATTGTTGGACACATCCCTAATATTAAGCCCAATTCAATTGATTGTGGTTGACATTAAGGTGGCACTTGAATTTGACCCCC